ATCCCTATCAAATTACCAATGTCATTTTCCACAAAACTAGAACAAAAAATCTGATAATTTGTATGGAAACACAAAAGACTCTGAACAACCTAAGCAATCTTGAGAAAGTAAAATGGAATTGAAGGAATCAACCTTCCTGATTTCAGACTATACTATAAAGCTACAGTCATCAAGGCAGTATGGTACTGGCACAAAAACAGAAATATAGACCAATGGAACTAGAAAGAAAGCCCAGAGATAAACCCACACACTTATGGTCATCTTATCTTTGACAAAGGAGGCAAGAATATACAATGGAGAAAAGACAATTTCTTCAGTAAGTGGTGCTGGGAAAACTGGACAGCTACATGTAAAAGAATAAAATGAGAATACTTCCTTGTTAGGAAAATAAACTATACACAAAATAAAACTAAATATACAAAAATAAACTAAAAATGGATTAAAGACCTAAATGTAATCATCAGAGACTATAAAACTCTTAGAGGAAAACATAGGCAGAACACTCTTTGATATAAATTGCAGCAAGATCTTCTATGACCCACCTCCTAGAGTAATGGAAATAAAAACAAATGGGACCTAATTAAACTTTAAAGCTTTCACACAGCAAAAGAAACCATAAACAAAACGAAAAGACAGCTCTCAGAATGGGAAAAATAATTGCAAATGAAGCAATCAATGGACAAAGGATTAATCTCCAAAATATACAAGCAGCTCAATATCAGAAGAACAAACAACCCAATCAAAAAATAGACAGAAGACCTAAACAGACATTTCTCCAAAGACATATAGATGACCAATAAATGCATGAAAAGGTGCTCAACATCTCTCATTATTAGAGAAATGCAAATCAAAACTACGAGGTATCACCTCACACTGGTCCGAATGGCCATAATTGAAAAATCTACAAACAATAAGTGCTGGAGAGGATGTGGAGAAAAGGGAACCCTCCCGCACTGTTGGTAGGAATGTAAATTGATACAGCCACTATGCAGAACAGTATGGAGATTCCTTCAAAAATTAGGAATAAAACTACCATATGACCCAGCAATTCCACTACTGGGTATATACTCTGAGAAAACCATAATTGAAAAAGATAACATGTACCACAATGTTCACTGCAGCACTATTTATAATAGCTGGGACACAGAAGCAACCTAGATGTCCATCAAAAGATGAATGGATAAAGAAATTGTGGTACATACATACAATGGAATATTACTCAGCCATAAAAATGAACACATTTGAGTCAGTTCTAGTGAGGTGAATGAACCTAGAGCCTTTTAACAGAGTGAAGTAAGTCAGAAAGAGAAAAAAATATAGTGTATATTAATACATATATATGGAATCTAGAAAAATGGTACTGATGAGCCTCTTTGCAGGGCAAGAATAAGAGATGCAGAGGTAGAGAACAGACTTGTAGACACAGTGGAGGAAGGAGAGGGTGGGACAAATTGAGAAAGTAACACTGAAACATATATGTTACCATATGTAAAATAGATAGCCAGTGGGAAGTTGCTGCATAACACAGGAAGCTCAACCCAGTGCTCTGTAACAACCTAGAGGAGTGGGATGGGGTAGAGGGTGGGAAGGAGGTTCAAGAGAGAAGGGACACATGTATACTTATGGCTGATTCACACTGCTGTATGGCAGAAACCAACACAACATTGTAACGCAATTACCCTTCAATTAAAAATTATATTATATATATATATATATATATAAAAAGGCTAATTCCTCCAAAAAAAAGCTCGCTAAGATACAAGTGAAAAAGGCAAAGTAAAATAGTTACTGCTATCCAGATATAGTCTCATATTATTTTAAACTTATACTTTCTATCAAAATCTCTATAAGAAATCATTCCCCTCTTTTACTCCTGCCCCCTCACTCAAGATTAATTTAAAACTAGTCAACAAAAGAGATTGTTATTAGGGCGAGAATTTTATATAAACAAACGTTTATAACCATGATCCTCCAATAACATGGTCCAGCTGGTAGAAAATTCAGAAGCAAAGATTAGATAGTATTTGTGAATAGAGATTATAATTTTCAAAAAAATCCAGGAATAAAGGAGCAGTTGGATACTTGCAGGCATTCAAGAAAGAACTGTTTAGGTAACAATTAGCTAAAAAGCATCTGAATATTGACTCTATTTCTAAATGTCTAAAAAGTAGTATTTGGAACACTTCTATTTCTGCCCTTAAAGCACTAACTACTATGGGAATTGACTTCCCATGATAAACGGAGAATTGGGGAAAATATATAAGGGGACTTCCCTCTGGTGGCCCAGTGGTTAAGAATCTGCCTTGCAATGTAGGGATGCAGGTTTGACTCCTATTTGGGGAACTAAGATCTCACATGCCCTGAGCGCTGCAACCACCAAAGCCGGCGCCACTGAAGGGTTCACACGCTGCAACGACTGAGACCGTGCGCTCCGGGTCCTCGCCGTCGTGTAGAGAGCCTACACGCCACTACTGAGTCCATGTGCCCCAATCAAAGTCCGTGTGCTGCAACAAAAGACCCCACAAGATGCAACTAAGACCCGATACAGTAAATAAATAAATAATTTCTTTTTTTAAAGAAAAAATATATGAAACAATTTCAGGCATTAGAAAACAGGAAGCACAGGATGATATGCCCTGAAAGAAGAGAAACAAACGGCTGCAGGATGCTGCCTGGAGGCAGTCTGCAACCTGCAGTGCAGGGAGCAGAGAGTGAAACAGAGCCCCAAGGTCTCGCTGAGTTAGAGATTAGAGTTCCTGGAAGCTGGGGTGGCTGTAATTTGCAGACACAGTATGAGTGAGAACGCAGATGCACAGAGAACTCTGGAGGTCTGCAAAGGGGTCCTCTCAGTCTTTGGCTGAGTACCAAACTCTGCATGCTTTAAAAAAAAAAAACCTGAGGTCAGGGGAGAAAAAAAAATATCACTGGATCTTTTACCCCAGTGAATCCAGACAATTCTCAGAGCTCACATAACGCACCAGCTGGAGTGGAGAGGCTTCATAATAGTGGGGGCACTAGGTGAATGAAGTCTTTCAGAGGGACATCACTTAGTAGGAGGAGCTAAGTTAGTCCAAGAATAAAAGCTCTGGAACAGCCATAAAAAAGCTTGAAAACAAGCTTCTAAATGATCAAACTGATATCCAAGCTACCTAATCATACAGCAGAACAAAAATCCGGTTATCCATCAACCCAAAATTCACACTGTCTGCATCCAATCAAAACCACCAGGCATAGGAAGCAGGAAAACAAGACACACAATCAGGAGAGAAACCAGTCAACAGACTCAGAGGTAACAGGATCAGTAGATGAGAACCTTAAAACATCTACTGTAAATACTGTCAATAAACTGGAGGATGAAAAAGAAAACATAAACATAATGAGAGAAATGAAAAATAAGACTAAAATGGAATTTCTAGAAATGAAAAACATGGACTCTGAAATGAAAAAAATAGTGGAAAAAGAACCAGTAGATTACAAATTCAAGAAGTACAGATGAGTGAATTTGAAGACATCACCATAGAAACTATACAATACAAAACATAATGAGGGGGAAAAAAAAAAAAAGAACAGAAGGCTGTAGTCTGAGACTACTGTGTACAATGACCCTGGCAAAAGATGCCACCTTCCGAAGTGTCCGAGCTTCCCTGCTGGCTCAGACGGCAAGGAGTCTGCCTGCAATGCGGGAGAAAGTGAAGTCGATCAGTTACGTCTGACTCTTTGTGACCCCATGGACCGTAGCCTACGAGGTTCCTCCGTCCATGGGATTCTCCAGGCAAGAATTCTTGGATGGGTTGCCGTTTCCTTCTCCAGGGGATCTTCCCGACCCAGGGATCGAACCTGGGTCTCCCACACGGTGGGCGGACGCTTCACCATCTGAGCCACCAGAGACCCGGGTTCAGTCCCTGGGTTGGGAAGATCCCCTGGAGGAGGAAACGACAACCCACTCCAGTATTCTTGCCTGGAGAATCCCACGGACAGAAGAGTCAGTCCATGGGGTCATAAAGAGTTGGACACGACTGAGTGACTAACACTTCACTTCACTCTGAGGTGTTTACTCACATGTATAATTGGCAAGATGGTGAACCATACTCATGCAGAGGTTTAGCAAGGATCACAAATGTCTCCTGAAATAAACTGAAAACAACGTAAAGGCTGTGAAGGTTAAGAAAGCCTATGAAAAGATTTCCTTAAGTGGGCAAATGCAGGATAATATTTAATATTAACATTTAGTACTCTGAAAACCTGATGAAGAGCAAAGGGCATATAACCTTTGAGTACTATAAATAGTGATAAGGACTCATAATTAAAAGAACAGAAGATCTTCCACTGGAAACATGAAAAGAGAGCTAGAGGAGGACTGATGCAAACAAAGGACTGAAAACAGTGCCTCTCAAAACAAAAGTGCCGGTGCTCAGTGCTATCTGACTCTCTGCAATCCCGTGGACTACAGCCCGCCAGGCTCCTCGGTCCATGGGATTCTCCAGGCAAGAATACTCGAGTGGTTGGCCATTCTCTTCTCCAGGAGATCTTCCTGACCCAGGGACTGGACTCGGGTCTTCCACAATGCAGGCAGATTCTTTACCACCAGAGCCACCAGGGAAGCCCTAACACAGTAACTTCCAGTTCCTTCCTCCAAAGCAACATAGTGAGCAAATAACAGCAAAATACACTGTTTTCTAAAATTTGAAATTAGTTCAAGTTCTCTATATAAAACTTCTGAAATTTAGTCTCAACAATACACTTATCTGCAGTGCACACATCTTACACTAAAGCTATATTTTGAGAATAGCCTAAAGAATAAAGAAACCACAAAAAGAAAATATAAATAATAGTTCTACTCTTTATTAAGATATGATTAATGTTTCATATTTAAATAGAACAAAAAGTGGTTGACTTTTTTAAACTTCAACATGAAATAGTAAATCAGGAGATGAATATAAATCAACAAATTACTCTAATGTCTCATAAGTGACTACAAAGTTAAAAAGAAAATAATTTACCTCTATGGCAAAGATTCCTTTGTCACGTCCATATAATTTCATCTCTTCTGGAAAATGCTGAAAAGCATGTATGTAAGGAATATGTTCCTCTTCAACAAATCTGTGTTTTTGAAAAAGTTTCAATATAAGATATGTACTGATTTGGCAAAGTAAACAAAAGAGGGGAAAATGTTATATTTCAAAGACAAGGTAAGAAGCAGTTGAGTATATTGTATATCTCAAATAGATTTAAGAATAATTAACCTGAAAATATCTATATTTCTGTTCCCTTGTGCAGAGACAAGATTTAGTTGATTATCTAATAATCTCTTCTGTTTCTGCCCAAATAGATAAAATATTTCTAAAAGGTGTGTTTATCTTATTTGTCAATATACCAGGCTTGTAGATATGGCATTCCTTCTGTCTATCCCTAATTTCTCTGACGTGATTAGTTTCTACTCATCTTTTAAATGACTTCTTCAGGGAGACCTTTTTGATCTCTGTTTTCCTTGTTAGACTACCTCCTTGTCCACCAATTGGTCCACAGTACCTATGACAGTACATGGTAGGCACCTGTCACTGGAAGAACAATTAAAGAAACACTCGTTTACCACTCTGTCTCAACGTCTGGTACATAGTAACTGGTCAACTCTTCTGAGTAAATTACTGAGTTTGAAGAAGTTAGCACATAAATGTAAATAAATATTCGTACATACTTATCTACAATTCATTCATTCATTCGACAGAAATTTATCGAGTACTATGTACCCAACACTATTCGAGGCTGGGAGACACAGCAGTGAACAAAACAGTAAAATATTCTTGTTCCCATGGAGTTTACGTTGCACTGAGAAGACCAAGATGAGAAAACCAGTAAGTGAAATACACAGTACGCTAGGTAGGAGGGAACGGTAAAAAGAACAACAGAGACAAAAACAGAGCGGCGGGGCAGACTGACAGCATCTCACTCGCCCCTCCTAACTAAGAAACCAATACTCCAGTCACGACCCCTGGAGATACTATCTCTACTTATAATACCATTGTACTTTCCAAAAGCTCCAATCTGTGACAGACTGAAATTTAACAAACTAGTTATTCATTACAGGTGGTTTAAGTAGCACTGCATTAGAGGTGAGTTGTGTCCACCCACAAAACATATCCTGAACCCCTTCACTTCATTCTAGTTCTATCACCACCACCCTAATCCAAGCCACTGGGTATAGAAAAGACCACCCAGTCTCTCTGCTTCCACTTGTGTCTACCTAGAATCCACTTTCCTCACAGTTGCCTGAACAATCTTGAAAACATAAACCAGATTGGATCATGTCTCTCCTATCAAACTCTTCGGTGGCTTACTATCACACTTAAAGGCAAACTTCTGATGGGAATGGGGTTTCCTCTTGGAGTGATAAATACATCCAGCAAATAGAGGTGATAGCTGCACACCCAGTGAATATACTGAAAACCACTGACTTGTATACTTTAAAAGGGTGAATTGTATATAAACTATACTTAAAAAAAAAAAAAAATCCAAACTCCTAACTTGGTTTCCAAAGACCCATGTCTGGTCCTGTTTATTATCTCTTTGCCCTCATCTTCCTCCTACTCCTTCAAATTCACATTCCCATCACATCAGCCTCCTCTGCTCCTGGATCATACAGAGCTTGCAACTGCTTTAGGGCCTGGCACTAGCAACCTCTCTTTACCTGGAATGCTAATACTTCTGATACTCAACAGCTGGTTTTATTTTCATTCAGAGTGCTGTTTAAATTCACCTTCTCACTGAGGCCTTCCCTAATAACCCATCTAAAGCAGCCATCTGGTCATTCTCTATCACATCACCCTATTTCAATCTTCTGAACAGCATTCCCTTGTCTGATTTATTGTATTTATTTATTTGCTTATCTGTCCTCTCCTCTAGTCTTAAACTTTAGGAGAGCAGGGACTATCTATATGGTTCACAAATGTATTTCAAGGGTCTGGACTCTAAAACAACACCTGAAAATAGCAGATATTCAACGAATATTTCTGGAATGAATATATGTTGGCTGTTTTTACTCATTGTAATTGTTAATACAGGATCCTTTAAAGGCTCCTCAAGGGTTATGAATTTATCCTAAGGAGGATGCTGTTAAAGGATTTAACAGAGAAGTGACATACAGGATCAGTATAAGATACATGGGTATTGTGGAAAGGCTAATAATGTAGGGCCTTCAAATCAATGTTCTTTAAATAGTTTATTCAGGGTGTAGCAATAGTAGTTCGCAAACTTTAGCATCCCTTAGAATCCCCAGAGGGCTTATTAAAACAGAGATTGATTACCAGGCCCTGTACCCAGAGCTTCTGACTCAGAAGGTTAGAATGGGTCCAAGAATTTGCCTTTCTAACAAATTCCCAGAAGCTGCTGATGCTGCTGGTCAGGACCACACTTTGAGAACCTGTGACTTAGAGCTCTTTTCCAAGAAAAGCAGAGAGAAAGGACCAGTGGTAAAGCCTTTTCTTCTACTCCTTCAAGCAATTAAACCAGGTCTCAAATTTGTAAGGCCCACAGAGCAAAATAAAAGCCTTCCAGCTAACTAGATCTAATCTTCTCGAAGGCAGTTTACAATTCCCCTTGGAGGGGGAAGCAAGGAAAAGTAAGGAAAAAAGGAAGGAGGGAGACAGAGGGGTGAGGAGAGAGGCAGAAGAAGAGGGGGAGAGAGACAGACAAACGTGTACGTTCTCATCCCAACCTCCAACCACACAAAATATTCTCCCTGAGAAGAATTTTTGGGCAAATAATTTTCTCTATTATTTCTGGGCAACTACTATTTCTTCCTTGTTAGATTTCTAGGGGAGTTTTGTTACCCCCTTACAGATTGCCTTGTGTAGAAAGAACAGCTAGCCCTTTCATCCAGCTCCAGTGACACGATCCTTCCTGTAAGATCCTTCAGGTTATCAGGAGGAAATGGACAGGAGAACCACAAGATTTACCTGGGAAGTGGCTAAGTAACCCAGGTGAAGACAGAGACAGAGGGAATGGGGGAAACATGGTTCTCAGAGTTATTCTGGAAGTATAATTGAGAGGACATATTGATTAAACTATATGCAGAGAGAGGGAAGAGTCAAGGATGGGTCTCAGGTGCCTGTATGAGATGGAACAGGGTATTAATGAAGAAGGGAATCACTGGAGGAAGAGATGAACTGAGGAGAAAGATGATGAAGGAGTATCCAGCAGGCAGCTGAATATGTGAATATATGGGTCTGGCCCTCACTAGACAAGTCTGGGCTGGAAATCCAGATCTGGGAGTCGTCATCATACAGATGGTAATTAGAGCCGTGGGGAAGGATGAGATCACCCAATGAGGGCGGACAGAACAAGATGAGGTTTTAATGTAACAGTAAAATTCACTGAATCATGGACTATCTGCATGTCAAGTTAATCACATCTGAGAAAAGCCTTGTTATTTGGTTGATGTGGCCAAATTCAAAGGCACTATTTTTATTTACTGGAGGCACTTTATTTAATCAAAGGGCCTAGTGCCAATGATGATGATGATGATAAAGAAAACATAAACAACAATAACTAGAACTGAGTTCTTGTTATGCACCAGGCACCACGTGCTTTTCATGTAGTACTAAGTACTGAAAGTAGTTTCAACTCTCTGAGGTAGATATTATTAGTAACCTCATTTTACCAATGAGGAAACAGGCGGAAAGAAATTAAATAACTTACTTAAGGTGCTATAGCACATAAGTGATAGAACCAGGATTTGAACCCACGGTTCTGGTTCCAAATCTATGCTCTGAAAATCACTCCACGCTTTGAGAAACTCAAATGTTATCATTTAGAACACATAATGAGCAAGGAAAAATGAACACATTAATGATTGTGATACATCTTCTATTTAATGAGATATTCTTACATACCATACCATAATTTATTCATTACCTATAAAACCCGGCAGATAATCTTGAAAACTGTACGTGCTGACTATCCATGTAACAGGTTCTTGGAATAGCTTTGTTTTCCATTTTAGCTTATAAACACAGACAACCTATCTTTTAGCCCTTAACAACACCAAGGTATGCTTTTGTATAACTTACTACTACTATTTGCCATGTAAAGGTCATCTGTTCATCTTCTCTCTTAAAAATGAAAAATACTTAATAATGCTGTGCAGGTACTTAAATGTCACTTTTCACCTTCAAAGCATTTTATTCACACTGGATGATAAATTCTCTAATACCCCATATGTAAGATAAATAGTATTATTTCCACTATATAAATAAGGAAACCCAGGAGATGAATTCTTAGCCCAGGGAGAATTACATGTCAGAGTCAGAATTCACACTACCTAATCTTTCCCTTCCTTAATTGAAGCCTCCTGGTAAAATCCAAAATATCTACAGGCTGTCACAAGATAATCAGCAAAAGCATCATCGTAAGAGGCCCAGCTTACCTCAAAAGATCTGAAAGAGTAATTGTCTCTCTCTGCCAAAGTAATGACAGATAGCAGAAGGCTAGCGTCCGTGGTACGCTCATCTTCATGACCCCCTTCTCCTTCCGCAGCGAATATTCCACTCCATCAAGAGACCCGGAACAGACAGAGGTCGTTTCTTACGGGACAAATGGAGATTTTTTTTAAGTGTAAGCAACTATTTTGGACAAGAAAAGAAGAAAAACAGCAAAATCCAAAGAGGTATTTTAAATATCTTAAAATTACTGATAGAATCTTTACACAGAGCAACTTGGCAATAAAGGGCAGTGATGATTTGGAAGAAAACTGGCCAAAACGTTAAAAGCTGGTTCTTTGTGGGAGTGGGGTGTGTGGAGAGTCTAAGGAGCTGTCTTTTCTGGATTTTTTTGTAGTGAACAGGAGCAAGTTTTCAAATAAATAAAAGGACAAAGAATTACTAAGCGAAGCAAAAATGTGTCATTCCTTTGAGTCACACCTCAACTCCCGTGTCCCCTTCTCCCACAGGCTCTCCAAACAATAGCTAAGGCAGCACCTCTCCCACTCCCATGCTCCGGGCGTCTTCCCCCACGGCATTATTTCATCCTCATGCATTCATTCCACAAATACTTGTCCGTCTTACTCTGTGCCTCTCTTCCAGGTCTGGGGAAATCACGGTGCACAGTATCTCATTTCTCCTTAAACTTACATACTAGTAGTGAGGGACAGTAAATGACCAAAAAAACCCACCTGACAGACAGTGGTTAAGGGCAACATGGAAAAACAGCAATGCAGGGGCATACAGGGCAATGGGAAGGGCAGAGACCTGTGCTTTTTCACATGGGTGGTCCCAGAAGCCCTGTGGGGAGGGTGACGCCTGAGCAGAGGCCCCGGGTGAGATCAGAGAGCAAGGCTGAAGGATCTGGGGAGGAACACCGAGTCTATCAGCAGAGCCGACTTGAAGGAACAGGGAGGAAGCCAGTGCGGCTCAAGCACCACGGGCGAGAGGAAGAGCGGCAGGAGACGACCAGAGAGGAGTGTTAGGTGACAAGAAAACACACTGTTAAAGGGCTCTGTTGGCCATGATCTGTCCTTCAGATTTTCAGCTAAGCATAATAAGAGTTTTCTGGAGACTTTTAAACAGAAGGGCAACATAATCTCACTTCTGATTTTTAAAAGGTCACTCCGGCTGCTATGAAGAATGGAATTAGGGGACGGCACACAGGAGGCCATGATGCCAGGTCCACAGCAGTGGGTCCTTGTGCTGGAGTGGCGATCCTGTAGGTGGTGAGGGGCAGCTGGACCCTGGACACATTCTGAAGGCAGAGTCAGAAAGATTTGCTGATGGACTGGATGTGAAGTATGAGAAAACAAGAGGAGATGAGTAGAAGTCTACGGTTTTGGGGCCTGAGCAACAAGAATGGAGATGCCCCTACTGAGACAAGGGAGGTGGCAGAAGATCAGGCTTGACCAGAGAAACCAAGATATCAGACCCGCACATGTTAACTGTAAGACTTTATTAAACATGCAAACAGAAATGCTGAGTAGGCAGCTGAATATAAAATTCTAGAGTTGAGAGGATAGGAATTTTAGAGTTGCTGGATATAGCTAGTGTTTAAAGCCAGGAGTGAGGGTAGATAGAAAAGCAGGGCTAGGAATAACCCTGAGAGACTCCAAGTTTTCTTGGGCAAAAACTCTCCAAATTATCCCTCAAAATCCCCTTTTCTAAATCCTGAAGATCCTTTCTTCATAGCATTTATCAGGAACTGCCCTATTCTTTTTCACATGTGCATTTATTGTCCCTGGGAGTGTCTCCTCCCAGGACACTCTAGGCAGCTTGAAGACAGACAGTATTGCTCACAATGGCATCCACAGAGCTCAGAACAGGCTCCAGGTGGAGAAGGAACCCAATAAATATTTGGTGACCAATGGTCTAGCAGCTTTACTTCAAAGATTTCATCTTAGTGAAATGATTTTTAAAACATGCAAAGGTTCAGGGTCAAGGTATGTTATGGCAACACTGTTTATAATAAGAAAACAATTTAAAACAACCTAAGTGACTAGAATAGAAATTTAATTAACTAACTTCACACAATGAAAACAGTGCATAACAATTTACACAATCCTTTGTGTAAAAGCATTGGACTGTTCTCCAAGTACAGTTGTTGGACCAGGTATATTAGCATCACCTGAGAACATGGTAGAGATGCAAATTATTGAGCTCACCAGCCCTCCATCCCTACCATCCCTCTGATGGATGCTAAAGGCTGAAGACTATGGTTTTAAAAGAATATACAAGGACACAGATTTCTATAAAATATTATTTTAAAAACTTCTCTATATATTACATATATAAAAACATGTAGGAACTTCTAGTTAAGATGGGAGATTGAAAGCACACATTAGCTTCTGTTTTGTCCCACTTTAATTATAAAGAAATTTTTAAAATATATACATATAAGAACAAATAACGTGGAAAAAGAGACAATAGCAATAAAATGTTACAAGCTGAAAAGCAAATGGAGAGGTGATTATTGCCTTAGCAGTGCGGAGAAAGCTGGATTCAGAGCCAGCAGTAGGGGAAGGCAGAATTCAATGTCATTTTCCTGGGGACCTCTAAGGCAGGCTCAGGAACCAGTTACACCAGGTAGCCCTGGAAAACGCATGATGCAGGACCAACACCAGGAGGACCGCTTGGGAGCCTGATTAAGAAGCTTTACACCCAGACTCCTCCCAAGCTCCATGCAGCCAGGTGGCTGCTCCTCCCCATCCTGCCCGAAAACTGCAGGTTTCTCCTCCAGAGACCCTCTCCTCCCCTGAGGCCTTCTTCCCACCCAGTTCCCAGGACAGCTGGGGTTATACCCGCCAAAAAAAAGACTCAGAGGTGTTTCTGGAAAATCTGGTCAGCTGATGACAATGCTGGAGGTTCACCAAGAAAATAAACCAGAGCAGAAGTGACAAGACTTAGTGTGGGTAGAAAGCTTTCAATCAACTTTTCAATCTCCATTCTTAAACAGGACTAGCCTTCTTAGGCTTGCTAAGCACTTGAAGAAACCCTCTAGTATAAAAAGGCAAAGAAAGAAAGAAAGTGAAGTCGCTCAGTCATGTCCGACTCTTTGTGACCCCACAGACTGCAGCCTACTAGGCTTCTCTGTCCATGGGATTTTCCAGGCAAGAATATTGGAGTGAGTTGCCATTTCCTTCTCCAGGAGATCTTCCTGACCCAGGGATTGAACCCAGGTCTCCCTCATTGTAGGAAGATGCTTTACCATCAAATCTTCAAATCAGTGTGAAATAACATTAATATCCTCAGCAAAATAAGAAAAGATGCTCCACAAATTGAGGGTGTGAACCAAGAAAGAAAATGAAGTGAGATAAAGAAATAAGAAATTTAACCACAGAGAGGTGACAGACTTCTCGGGATGGTGGTAAAGAGATCCCCAAGACAGAGGTCTGGAGATACATCATTTTAGATGAAAGCAGCTCAGAAGTTCCAGGATCTATTAAAGAACATGAAATTGACAGAATAAGGAATTGAGAGATTGCCAGAACTGAGGGGAAGTGTGGAGATACATCAGTAATAGATTATAGATTCATGGATTATAGATTCATAATTTCACTAAGTTGTATTTGACTCTTTTGTGACCCCATGGACTGTAGCCCACCAGGCTCCTCTGTCCATGGGGTTCTCCAGGCAACAACAGTGGAATGGATTGCCATTTCCTTCTCGAGGGGATCTTCCTGACCCAGGGATCAAATCCGTGTCTTCTGCACTGGCGGGCAGATTCTTACCACTGAGCCACCGGGGAAGCCTAGATTACAGATTAGTAATAAATAAATAGAAAACTAAGCAAATTATCAACTCTGGAGAAACCAAAGCACATACAGAAAAAGTAATCATAGTAAGCTATATGACTCAGCTCTGATGAATATTTATATACATTTACAATTTAAGCACCAAAAAATTGACCAAGCAAAAAATTACACTGAAAAGCTAGAGAAGGAGAAATTCATAATTATGTGCTGGTAACTACGTGGCAGGGGGTAGGGAGGGACAGTGAGGGATGACTGAAAGAGCTAAGGCTTCGTCGTCCATAGTGGGAATTAAATCGCTCATGTGCAAAACGAGAAATCAAGATGTAGTAACAGAAGCATGTGATACAGCAATACAGCATTTAAAAAAGAGCTGAAAATGAATGCCTCTGGGAAATGGGACATTTGAGGGAGATAGTGGACTGCAATTTATTTTTATTTGTGTAACAAGTCATGCATGTAGAATTTTGATCAAAAAAATTTAAAGAATCAAGAAGTAGTTCACATTTTTGGAAAACAAAACTCGTGCTTTCTCTCTCTCTATATATATGAATAAAAAACCTTCTAGAATGTAGAAGAATACAGTGATAGTGGTTATTTTGGGGTGGTACAATAACTCGTGATTTTATTTTCTTTATGAACATCCATTTTTGTGTTTTTTTTTTTTTTTTGGCAGGCTACACAGCTTACAGGATCTTAGTTCTCTAACTAGGGATTAAACCTGGGTCCCAGTAGTGGAAATGCCGAGTTCTAACCACTGAACTGTCAGAGAATTCCCATGAATATCTGAATTTTATGTTTTGCATTAATAATGAGTGTTTTAATAGTTACATTTAATAGGAAAATGAAAATACAGCTCTAAGGATGATCATTTACTAAGAAACAAACATGCAAACAAAAACCCCTAACATAGGTAAACAATCATGATGTCTTACTGAAAAGGCTTGGATGGTTTCAGAGTCCTAGTTCTCTTGAGATTATTTGAGTCAGGTGGCCTGAGGCATGGAAAAGGAAACCCCACATGCCATGCTGCCCAATTATCCTACAATTCTAACTTCTGTGGACATAAAATGTAACTTATTTGATAACTGTGTCATTGTGCAGTCCATCAAGAAATGCAGATATGCTTAAGGAAAAAAAAAGGAAATGACAAAAAATAAAAAGAAACGTGGATATGTTGATAAAAGGAATTTTTAATCTCTGGAGGGTGAAGGGCTTGCAAAGAAGCAGTCCATACTAGAAATGTTTTGTTGAAAAGTTTACGTAACCACACGTAATGCAGACTTCAACAATTCCTAACATCAGGAGGTTTGCAGTCTATCTCCCAAACAACTCCAGTAGCACACATCAAGACCTTCACAATCTATAATAAAATCTTTCTCTTTTCCACCACGTTTCTTTGTTTTCGTTTTTAAAAGTAATGTAGAAACAACTAAAATCATGAATAAATGCTCTGAGGAGAAGGTCTGTATCTGTAACCTTAAATACACTCCTTATCTATTTTAAATTACGGAATTAAACCAGAAAGTAAGACATACATGCACATGCATGCGCGCACACACACACACACACAGACACACACAATATGGTAATCTGATTCAGCCTGCGTTAGTCTATGCAGAGAAACTGGGCAGCTTATTTTTGACTCCTGTCTATCTTACCACATGGCTAAGTTCTATTAGTTCTCTGCTACAACTTTTCTCTAAAATTCTGAGCCCACAGTTATCTTACTTGAGCTAGCCTCCTTTTTGTAGTCAAATGCTCTACCCCTGAGCTATACCCCCAGCTAGCCTCCTTTTTGGATCTGCTTATTGCTTGAAAAGTGAAAGTGTTAGTCATTCAGTCATGTCTGATTCTTTATACCCCACGGACTGTAGCCCGCCAGGCTCCTCTGTCTGTGGGATTCTCAAGAACAGCTCCTGGAGTAGGGAGAAATTCCCTTCTCCAAGGGATCTTCTCGACCCAGCAGAGATAGAACCCTGGTCTTCTGCAGATAGATTCTTTAACATCTAATCCACCTGGGAAGCCTCACTGTTTAGTTCCCTTTAAAAATCACACCTAAAAGCTCATGAGGAAACAATGTACCTTTTTAAAAACTGCCCTAATATTTCATTCAGTCTACCTTTCTCCTTGCCATATGATTCAACAAATCATTCTTCCTTGCTAGGCCAAGTTCCCTTCCTTGGAATATGAAGAGACAGGACTACATTATTTCTAAGATGCATTGCCAGAGTGTTAGTTTGTCATCTTTACCTGAGTGTGACGCTTTGATGATGGGGAAAGGCTTTGGAGTGCGGACATCAGGCTGAGACTCTGATCCACTTTCTCCAAAAGACAGTCGGCTCACGTCACTCAGTAGCTCAGGCTCACTCTCCCAGTCTGAATGGCTCGAATTATCTTCTAATACCTGTTTTATAAAAGGATATAAATTATGATTATATAGGAATTACAACATAATTCATTTCCACAAACTGTAAACAATGTTTGAGCATCACAAACACTAGAGAAGGAGCCACTCTAGAGACCTGTAGCCACCTGCCTGGTCCCTGAGACCAAGAGAGCCAGACTTCTCCACGTGCTCGCTTCCTCAGCAGCTCCTAGCCATGCTTCTCAGATAAGGACGCCAAACAAGCATGAGCAGAGAAACATGCAGACACAACAGGCCTAGTTCTCTCTGTAACTAACACCTCACCTATAGCTCTAGCATCAACACCAATAAAAACATCAAGTGTCAGTAATGACTCCAGACACACTGAGGCTTGACAATCATACATTATCTCTTACCATGATTTAATTTTTCACAAGTGTATCGCTGAAAAAGCGGTCAGAGTGTCCCTTAGAAAGATCAGCTGGCTAGCTACCTAAAGGCCTCATTAACTGACATGACCTTGGGGAGCTGATCACAGTCAAAATGCCACGCTCTCAGTCATGTAGGCCAGAAACCGGATCTCACTGTGAGGAGATAAAGCTCATATTAAAGGAACTCACAGAGAATGAGACAGAAAAAAGAAACCAGGGACAGGATAACGCTTGTTTCTTCTGTCAAGCACATCCCCTCTGGTATGTGAGCCCACGAGGGGCCAGGCAACCACAAAGCTGGCTGATACATGGAGATCACTGAGAAAACTGAAGCAATCCTAAGGAAACTCCCACACCACACACTCGGCCCTCTGTCGGCCTCTGCGCCCTTTCCTGCTCCCATCTACAGCAACGTCTCCCTCTGTGCACTTGCTTCCACCTCTCACTGTTGTTCAGTTGCTAAGTTGTGTCCAACTCTTTGCAACCCCAAAGACTGCAGCACGCCAGGCTTCCTGGTCCTTTACCATCTCCTGCAGTTTGCTCAAACTCATGTCCATTGAGTCACTGACGCCATCCGACCACCTCACCCTGTCGCCCCCTTCTCCTTTTGACCTCAATCTTTCCCAGCATCAGGGTCCTTCCAGTGAATATGCAGAGCTCAGTTCTTGGTCCTCTTCTCTGTCTTTGCTCCTCAGGGATGTCATCGGTCTTGTAGTTTTAAATACCATCTACTATGTATACTGTTTTCAATTCTAATGTGCACTCCCCCATCTCTATATTTTAATATCCCTGAAATCAGGAATATCTTACAGTCAGCGTCATGGCACAATTTAATTTGCAGCATCTTCTTTTTTCTTGGGGATACTTAAAAATAATGGTGCATCTTACAAACAATGGTATTTTAGATTTGATTATAGTGTGAGCTGACAACTTCCAAATTTGTATCTCCAGTCCAGATCTCTCCCCTGAACTGAACACTTGTGTATCTGAGGACTCCACATTTCCTCCTGGATGTCCAATAGCTGTCTCAAACTTACGCGTAAAACTGAACTATTGTTTTTCCTGCTCTACCTGCTATTTCTAAACTTCTCATTCCTACAATTTCTAAACATCTCATTTCTTTCACTAAACTCTTCGAGTGGAACCTATGAGACCCTAACCAAACAAGGAAACACTGGGCCAAGTTTCCAAGCTCTTAACAAATGTGTGTCAAACAGAGTCAGAATCCCTTCTCAGTCCTAGAGAGTAAGAATCACACGTAAAACACATCAAAGCTTATCAATCCTGCATTTCCCAGCAGTGGAATCCTCCCCTATCCCAAACAAAATGATCCATGGCACATTTAATAAGCAGTGAAAAGCAAACTGCTAAAAATATAACTGCTTTGATGGATGGGGGTGGGGTGGTGAAGCATCCAGATGACAACTGAGCTGAATCTTGAAATGCCAGGTAAAGCAAGCAGGTGTTCCAAACAAAAAGAATAACATTTGCGAACAGTTTTTAATAGTACAATGGTAGAAACTCCTTTAAACTTCTATTTAGAAACTTAACCACAAATTTCTTTATTTTTCAACTGGTCAAATAAAAAGTCAAAATCAATTTCAATGCCTATATCACTGACCCTGTCCTTCTGGACTATAAATGAAACCTCTTCACTGAAACTCCTCTGAAAACCATAACTGAGGTAAGGTTGAACCTCATCTTCATTTCTATCTCTCATCTTCATTTCTATCTCTCACAAGATATGTCTTTTGGTCCCACTTGTCAGACATGTGACTTACCGTACTTTTCCTTCTGCTGGTATAAACTGGGTTTTTACAATATGCCTGCTTGCTCTTCTGAAGGTAGCGCTTCCAAAAATTATGCAAAACTTCATTCTAATGTGGAGGAGAAACAAGAATGCTTCAGGTCGTGATGAAAATATACTAGCACATCCAGATCACAGAATGTCTATTCTCTTGTACTTTACATACTGTTTCCAGCTAAATGTATTCTCACCTTTCTTACTTAAACTTCCTTGAAGGAATTATCATTTCAGTATCAGGTATATGAGAAGCACTGAATATAGTCTTCCTAATCTTAGATTTTAGGAAAGGAAGGAACTAGTTCCTTAAAATCACCTAGTTGAATCCCTTCTTTTTACAAGTTAAGTAAATTAAGATCCAGAGAAAGAAAGTCACTTATACGTGACTACACTTCTAGTTAGGAGCAAAGTTGCTATAGCATTTAGTGACCTATTGACACCCCCCTTCCTCCTCCCACCCTCTGTCCAAGTGAAAGTAAAACAAAACAAAGCAGCTTTTCCATTTATTTATTACCTACTGGGCACAAGGCATCCATAAGCTTTAACACAACCCTACAAAACAGTTATTAGCTCATATTTTACCACTGAAGACACTGAGTAACATGGCCAAAATGACCCATGAATAGGATCTAGAGTCAGTTCTGACTCTGGAGCCTGGGTTCTTATCATCACACCATTCCTGCACCACTTAGCTGGTCAGGTATAAACAGTCATACTTATTGGTTAATTTCAGAGAAACTGTTTTCAGGATTAATCTCGATGAAGTAGGTATCAACAGAAAGATATACAGGTGTAAACCCTACTGAAGCTCTTTGGTGGAACTACCTGAAACTATTTATTAAAAAACACTCATACATCAGATACCTATGCCAGGGAAAACCAGATTCACAAACCTGCAGGCTACCAGCAATCTTACCTAAGCAATGACTGTCAAGGTTAAGGCTCACCACTTGGGCTATGCATTGGCCTATGGTCACTGCCTGCCTGCTGCAGACATTCATTGCTTTGAATAGCAAAGGTTGCTTTACCAATCTTTTCTTGGTGACTTCAGTAGTTGATATTTCTTCCTTTGCTTTTTGCTCTTGTTTTCATTTATGAGCATAGTACTATATGATGTCCTATTCACTCATTCCACATACACATGGAAACTTCTCTCCAACTAAGCTGACTCCAGTAGCATCAGTATCACCTGGAAACTTATTAGAAATGCAGATTCTTGGGCCCTACTCCAGACTTGCTTATCAGAAACTCTGGAATGAGGTCAAGCAATCTGTGTTTTAACAAGTCTTCCAAGTTGATTCTGATATACACTCAAGTTTGAAAACCATTGATTTAATGTATCACTGCACAAAGTGCATTTTCTAGAAGTCCTGATGGATGCTACTTCCCCCATCCCATCCCCCCACACACACCAGAGGATTTTACTCTCAAATTGTGAATACTGCACATTGCATCCCCTAGGAAATGAAAAAGCACATTAACACATAAAAGGCACTAATAAGTGGACAAAATTGTTTATTTTACTTTAACCTAATGTTTCCTAATTATCTGAAGACTAAAACCTTTCTTAGTTTTTTTTGGATGTACTGCTTATTTATACATTTTGGGGATTGCTGGTCTTGCAAAAGGATTAAAGAAAAATCATCAGAAAAATGATTCTTTCTAATAAGCCAAATGCTATTACTGATAACCCTACTATTCTTAGTTCCACTCTAAGTCTACTGTTCTTCAAACAACAAAATGAAAGGTTAACATCTGAACTCAAATGGACTTACCTTTAACTCTGGGCCTACTCCAAGGCTCTGTAAGGCTTCTGCTTGTTGATAAAGTATGTGCTGAAAACCTTCACACACATACCAATCCCAGCCTTTCTCTAAATGACAAATGACAGATTTCAGACATCTGAGTTTCTTACTTACTACATGTAATGCTACTGCACAGTTTCAATTGTGTTTCCCACACTTCAACTGGAATTTTTTCATATCCCTGAGTAGAGCTTCCATTCTTACACTCTCACTTCCAATCTGGCAAATCTGTACAGAAATGCTAAAGTAAATTTAATTTTTCTGAAATATCAATGCAAGGGCAGAAAAATGGTTAGTCACCACATTAAAAAAAGAAAACAAGTTTTATAAATGTACTGAACAATGCCCAGCAGAAACCTAAATGAAAGGATACTCAACGCTCAGCCACTGTTTCCCCTCCGACTCCTCTGTTCCACCTCACACAGAAAGGGAACAATGAAGATTTGGAGAATGAATGAACTAAAGCAAAGAGGGGAAGCTCCAAGATCGCTGGAAACGGTGTACAACAAGAACACACAAGGAAAACGAACTGCTCAACGGCTTTCTCCTTTCATCAAGATGCTTCTAGATAAGAGTGTGAAACTGAAAGCAAGGAAACTAAGATTTATTGAACTCGGTCCAGTCACCACGTATTTTAAGTATTAATGGGTTATTTTCTTGCAACCTCAAAACAGTCTTAAGAGATTTTGAAGGAATGGACAAAGCTACATGTTTAAATAAAACTACCAGTTAAAAGAAAATGCTCAAGTCTGTTAAGGCTCTTATGTTTTACCCCTCCCAGGTTGACAAATACTGCAACTCTTTGAAAAAATATGCTTCTGAAGTCTGCTGCTATGACTCCAAGATGCCCTCTCCCCTGAAGAAAGTCACAGGATTCCTGTGCCCCTCCCTAACCTCAGAGTCACAAGGTCTCCCCACCTCTGCTGACTAACTCACTTTCTGGAAAGGGTCTTAGTTTGTATAGGAGTAAAATAAGAAGCCTGCAATTTTGATGCATTCCTAAGGTGAGGGAGTTTAAACTCCCCACGCTATAGCCGGCCATGTGTGCTCTCTCCTTCCTGCACCCTATTCTGACAAACTAAAGTTGTATCTTAAATTCTAAGTCTGGGCTCCTACTCTCTATAATAAATGGTATTACCGTCTTACTTTACACATGAAGAAATTAAGGACAAAGAGGTTGAATATAAGACTCTCAACATTTAATTTGAAACACCTGATGTTCTTTCAGCAATTTAAGCTTAAACTATACAATTTTTACTACCTAGATGCCAAGTCCAAATTAATCAGGTTTTACTCTAATTAAATTTAATTAAGATTAATCAGGTTTTAGCCTAATAAAAATAGTCACTACTAAAGTTTAAACAGGAACATGAGTTGACATCTAGGCATTCTCTGTTATTTATCTAAGATCAGCAATGTATTTCATGCAGTTATTTCACCAACATTTATATATATTATATATTTCATGTGTGTATCCTTAAAGCTACCTCAGGTAGAAGAGTCTGCCATTATCATTAGCCTAATTTCAAACCTGAGCATCTGGCTCTAGGCAATCAGTCACAGAAATAAAAAGCATCAACTAAACTTCACCTCAGATTCTTCTCAATAATGGTTAATTATATGTACTCCCTGGATTAATGAAATAGATTGCCTTTCAAAGCACACCCGTGCTGAGGTTATTTTAAAGGAAATTAATTTTCCCTATTATAAAAGGGTGTGTTCAAAATCACTGTGAGAAATGGATTTCTGAAAGCTGAGTATCATATTTAACTAGACTAACCTGACAACTCCATAGCTGAAACATGTCAGAGAAGAAGCAATTTTCTTTAAAAGCACAGAAAATCATGAGAGATTACAGATACAGAATAGAGAAAATGCCAACAGACACAAAAAAATACACTCCCTTGACTATTATTATTTTTTGCATAGTAGTTGCACCACTGAAAAATCAAATCATCTACAATAAACAGAATAAAAAATGGGTATGCTTTAAGAAGTTGCTTCCAATTTTACCAAAAATAATTATCAACTTTAACTCTATTTTGGCTTAAAATTCTGGCAACTTCGTTAGAATCTATTTAAAATTCCAATTGCACACACCCAAATTATGAAAATGAAAACATGATTGAAAAATACTAAGCACAAATGAAGAAAGAGCTTACCAAGTTTTCGTTTTCTTTTAAGTCCCCGGTTGATGGCTTGTATTTTAGTATTAGGAATAGCCCCAGTGTCTATAACTTCCCTAGATCTCTGCAGGAAACAGAAGCAGACCATTAAAAAAGACCATACAAAGGTAGTTTCACATGTTCTTGACTATATTTCCAAGCACACTTTGGGGTGTACAATGAACCAGACTGTGGATGCCAGGACCAATGACGGTAGCATTTTGGGAAAATTAGATAAAGTGTAACACTCTGGTTAGCCTTTATGTTATTTTCTGATTCAAAACTTCTTAGTACCTAAAACTGTGCGAAAAACAGTTTTAAACATACTAAATGACTGTCAAATGAATAACCTTTTATTTTCAATCAGTTTTTAACTGTTTGACACCAATCCTAAAGTCAAATTTATTCACCCTTTTTTCTCCACCCCAAATCACTTTGAAACTAAAATAATTTCTGTATTTATTGTAGTCAGCAATGCCTAAGCTACACACAGATTAGTTTCATCCGACTTTTCTATGTCTTTGAATCATACTCTTAAAACAGCTTAATGAAATTATAAAAGTACTACTTTCATTCTTAATCAGACCTATAGGATTTTAGAATGACTTATTGTTGAGTACAGTTCACCCCAAAGTCTTCAATTCCAAGTGCTCTCAAGAGCTGGGACCTGAGACTCTGGTTCTCTCACAACCAAAATATATTAATAAAAGCATCAGCCCTACGTGATGGGGGAAACGTGAAGATTTTTAACCAACAGCGAACACTACCTATGTATTTGTCTAAAGTTAGAGATTTGGAATGAAATTTATCTTCAACTTTCATTAAGAATAAAAGAAATGCCTCTAACAACAGGATTTTTGGAATACATTCTCTCTGTATTCCACAGAAACCACATTCAAAGCCGTTCTGGTGGATGGGGTTGGCCACATTGAGAACGTAAGACATTTCAGAACACACACCAAAGCAATTACCCAACAAAAACAGGTAAAACCTACAAAGAGTGGGGGTGGGGGCGGGGGAAGGCTTAAAATAAGAATTAGACAAAATGCAAAATAACTAAAAGCTAAGAAAAAGCTAAATACCCAGACTGAAGCTGTAACTAATTACGGAATGGTTACACTGTGGACTGTTTATACAGTTAATTAACACATTCACACAAGATTGGGGGTACTCACCCATATCCCCTTGCCCCTTTCATATACAGACAGTCTCTCATATAACGTATGTTGAGCTCACTGGTGATTGTAGCTTTCACCTTCATCATTTCTACATTTTCTACAGTAAATCTGCTCTTATCATATAAATCTGTTAAACTCACATGATCTTAACTTACACCTTTATTAAATATCCACAAAATACGTGCAAGAATGTCTACACATAGACCAGATTTAAGACCGGAAAATATTTTTCCTGTATAAAATCAATCAAAATAACATTCTAATTCCTTTATCAATTCAGAAGGCCTTCCTTCAGATGGTGGGTATCTAGAAAATGAAAATTACATACAAGAGTAAGTTTAGGGGCAATGAAAGGAGCAGAAAAACACAGAAAGCTATACCGCAACCTCCACTCTGTAGGTGTAACCACAGCTCACCGGCCATTTCCCATCAGGTGGATTTAAACATTGGCACGCCGAGCCCACACCAGTCACGTCCTTTTCTATCTGAAGAACGTGCCATAAAGCCAAGAGAACCACTGAGGTTGTGCAACACACAGCTCTGTCTATCGCATGGGAGGCACTGAGATAGGTTCTGGGCCTGTAGGAAGATGGTGCCCACCATCCAGAACGCTCCACTCTTGACAGGTTATTCCATACAAAGCTGGTATCTTTCAAATGTGGAAATACTGGTATTAGGATCTTTCAAATTAAAAACTGACTGCAGCAGATTTTGTCAGACAGAAATAAATAGAAATACTATCAAAGACAAATAAAAGAAAGCAATTAGTTAATGTATTAATAGTTTAATTTCTCCAAAAAAAGTATATGCTGTCTTCATCTGCTAATGACAGTCCATTACAGACATCTTGCTTCATCGTGTTTACATTTGCACTGCTGGTACAAAACCAAAAACTGTTAATGCCTCAACAAACATCAAAGCAAAGGACCAAACTGAGCATATTTAAAGTGTATGATCTGATGTGTGTGTATGTATAGCCATGAAACCATCATCACAAACGAGGTAATTAACATATCATCACCCCAACAATTTCATCGAGTGAGTTCGTATCTTATGAATACTGTGGGTGACCAAATGGGAAGCAGAATGAAGAACAATGACTGTCTCAATGATAGCTGCAAGCTAAGTTAACCACTTTTCTCAAAAATCCCGGAGGACTACAGGGCAAAGGTAATAAATATATCTGCTCTTCCTGGCTCTGTAGACTTTGAGCAAATCCTCTTCCGGAGAGAAAAGTCCTGGTGTGTTTAGTCCACTCGACAGCAGGCTGTCCACACTCTGATTATTTTGGTTATGTTGTCCTCCTGAGGGTTGTGGTGACCAGAAGAGGACCTAGCACTCCCTGTGTGAATGCAGTCTCATTAACCAAGGACCCACAGGACAGGACGTCAGCCTCTGTCCTAAGAAGCAGGTGTAGTGGTATAAAATGAACACTGGAGTCAGAAGCCTCAGGTTCAAATCCTGCCTCAACACTTTCTAGCCATGAGACTCTGGCAAACTCATTCACCTGATGAGGCCCACTTGCCCTACCAGTAGACAGGCATAATAGTGTATCTCACACATTGTTAAGAGAAAGAAATGAATGAATGGATAAGAAAACACTCATAATGTGTAAGGCACTGTGCAAAGACATAATGATAACAATGTATATTTCCAGTACTCCCAACAGTCCTCCAACATTCTATCTTCCAAACCTCCATGCTATCATGGCACATTAAAAACTCTTAAATAAGTATTAACTAATGAAAAGAAATTTATCATCTTCCAAGTGCAAGTTTAATTATTTCCCCTTACAAATATACCATACAGTTTGAACCAGGAAAACACTTATATTCATGGCCCAAGATAGTTTCAGAAGTTCATCCTAAATCTAATTCACAAAGTCTTTAACCCTTGTGTCAGTACTTGAGGACGACTTATATTCTTGGTATTTGGGCATTGCTTAGTAATAAAAATAGATCAATTTGGTGGTGGGGAGGTACTATGCCATATATTAGGCTGAAATTGCAATTTTTAAAGCACAAGCAAATTCATAAATGAGACCTGTTACTTACTTCTGTAACATTGTGGCAAGAAGTGCAATAATATTTGCCTTCATCAGTAAGACCCCAAGAAACAGCAGCACACTGAGAACAGCGCTCTCTGAACTCTCTCTGTGGGAGAAAAGGAACATCACATTTAACACACTGCACCTAAACCCTGCAGGTCTACGTACAGGCTTCCCTGCAATTTTACTCTATCAGTAAAGAAACACTGAAAATAGAAAACATACCAAAGAGACTATTATCTACAAACAAGGAGAAGAGCAGTTCAGTCTGAGCAGTTTGAAATGGAATTAAACTATTAAACGTTTCTAAAACACACAGTGTGAAAAAAATAAAAAAATAAAACAAAACACACAGTGTGTGGGAAGGGGAAGAAAAAAGATGGTAGGGGTAAAGTGGGGGGTGGGGGAAGATGAGTAAATAAAACTTGAAAATGCTGTGAGGAAAAAAGATGATGAGATTTAAATACAGAGAAGACTTAAAAGAAACAGCATACCATTTGGAACTTCCTCCAGGACACTAAGAACACATAACCCACCACAAAGGAACCAGAGTTTTATTAGGGTTGTTTCAAGTTTCCATTTGCTCATTCAGCAATCCAAGGAGTACATACTATGTAAGCTCTAGACACTTAACTAGGTGCTGGAGATGTGACATTGAGCAAAACAGACAAGATCCCTACTCATAACGCTACAGGCTCATGGTGAGTTCTAGTTGTTCATTTCATTAACCCAGCATCTACACACCGTTAACCATTATTCAAGAGACATTTATTGAGCACCTACAATGAGAAAAGCCTTCTATCACCATGATGCTTCTGTACGTACATAGACTGGCAATGAATAATCAATTCTCAGCTCTTTGGTGTGTGAAATAGTATTACCATTTATCTAATTACCCAATATTCCTCTAACACCATCAGTTCAGTTCAGTTCAGTCGCTCAGTCGTGTCTGACTTTGCGACCCCATGGACTGCAGCATGCCAGGCCTCCCTGTCCATCACCAACTCTTGGAGTTTACTCAAACTCATGTCCATTGAATCCTTCCAGTGAATATTCAAGACTGATTTCCGTTAGGATGGATTGGTTGGATCTCCGTGCAGTCCAAGGGATTCTCATCAAAGACTGGCAAAACGCACGGCCAATTGATTTCAAAAGCAGGTCAATGGCAACCCACTCCAGTACTCTTGCCAGGAGAATCCCTTGGATGGAGGAGCCTGGTGGGCTACAGTCCATGGGGTCGCAAAGACTCGGACACGACTGAGCGACTTCACTTCACTTCTTGCATATTGGTAACTAGTGAAATCTTGGTCGTGCCCTCACACCCGAATTTGGCCCTCCCTACGCAAGGCCGAGACAAGGACTCCCAAAGACTAGGTGCTGGGAGATGTGACGTTACTTGGGGTTACAGGGGTTACTTGGGGGCATTCTGGTTCCAGCCCCTGGCCTCCCTCGCCCAACCTCCAACATCAAAGGGAACTTGGCGGGTGGTCCAGTCTAGAGGAGGTGAGCCACGAGGGCGGCCACCTCACAAAACCTACAACTTCATCCTCCCCCTAAAACACACCCCTCTCGATCAACACCTCACCCCGTCTCCACTCACAACCTCAACCAGCCAGCAGCTCCAGCCTGTCTCCCCCACCACGCGGGTACCCGCGGCCCGCCAACTCCATCCCTTTCTGACCCGCCCCACTTCGAGACCAGAGCGCCTCCACAGCCAACTGGCGTCGTCCGGCGCCTTCTCCTCAGCCTCACGGCCCTCCCGCCCCGTCGCCAGGTCGCGCGGCAGCCGGACTTCTCACCGCCTCCTCCAGATCCATATCTGCAACTCAGGCGCTTCAGCCGCCGGGACCCGTTACCCGGGCAGCGAGCTCAGCTTCCGGGAGCGGCGGGAAGAGCCCTCCGGGCGGAAACCCAGACTCTTGACTCTGGATTTCCGTCTCCTACAGCCTCAGGGAAGCCTCCGCGAGCGGCGGGAGGAAGCTCCGCTAATCCGGCATCCCTCCCAGAAATCATCCCGTTCCTACTCTAGGAACCGAAGCTAATCAGTAAAAAAAAAAAAAGAAAAAAAAAAGGTGGGCGGTACCTACTACTGAGCGGATTCAGTCTGTTCCGACAGCTGGTGGGAAATGCAGAAAATGAAAACAAATGCATAAAGGCCAAACGGTTGTCTGAGGAGGCCTTCCTTACAAATAACTGAGAAAAGAAGAGAAGCTAAAGGCAAAGGAGAAAAGGAAAGCTGAATGCAGAGTTCAAAAGAATAGCAAGGAGACATAAGAAAGCCTTCCTCAGTGGTCAGTGCAAACAAATACAGGAAAACAATAGAATGGGAAGGACTAAAGATCTCTTCAAGAAAATTAGAGATACCAAGGGAACATTTCATGCAAAGATGGACACAATAAAGGACAGAAATAGTATGGAGCTAACAGAAGCAGAAGATATCAAGAAGAGGTGGCAAGAATACACAGAAGAACTATACAAAAGAGATCTTCATGACCCAGATAATCACGATGGTGTGATCACTCACCTAGAGCCAGACATCCTGGAATGTGAAGTCAAGTGGGCCTTAGGAAGCATCACTACAAACAAAGCTAGAGGAGGTGATGGAATTCCAGTTGAGCTATTTCAAATCCTAAATGATGACACTGCGAAAGTAGCGCACTCAATATGCCAGCAAGTTTGGAAAACTCAGCAGTGGCCACAGGACTTGAAAAGGTCAGTTTTTCATTCCAGTCCCTAAGAAAGGCAGTGCCAAAGAATGTTCAAACTACTGCACAATTGCACTCATCTCACACGCTAGNCTAGATAGCATATTAAAAAGCAGAGACATTACTTTGCCAACAAAGGTCCATCTGGTCAAGGCTATTGTTTTTCCAGTGGTCATGTATGGAAGTGAGAGTTTGACTGTGAAGAAAGCTGAGCGCCAAAAAATTGATGCTTTTGAACTACAGTGTTGGAGAAGACTCTTGAGAGTCCCTTGGACTGCAAGGAGATCCAACCAGTCCATCCTAAAGATCAGTCCTGGGTGTTCATTGGAAGGATTGATGCTGAAGCTGAAACTCCAATACTTTAGCCACCTCATGTGAAGAGTTGACTCATTGGCAAAGACCCTGATGCTGGGAAAGATTGGGGGCAGGAGGAGAAGGGGACAACAGAAAGTGAGATGGCTGGATGGCATCACCAACTCGATGGACATGAGTTTGAGTAAACTCCAGGAGTTGGTGATGGACAGGGAGGCCCGGCGTGCTGCGATTCATGGGGTCTCAAAGAGTCGGACACAACTGAGCTACTGAACTGAACTGAACTGATGAGCACCATGGCATTGGGGATTTTTGTCTTTTTGTTTATGGCTAAAGAGCCAGCCTGGCTTGAAACTCAACATTTAAAAAAACTAAGATCATGGTATCCAGTCCCATCACTTTATGACAACAGAAAGGGAAAAAATGAAAACAGTGACAGATTTTATTTTCTTGGGTTCCAAAATCACTGTAGATGATGACTGTAGCCATAAAATTAAAAGACACTTGTTCCTTGGAAAGAAAAGTATGACAAACCTAGTTCGTGCCTGCTAAATTGCTTCAGTTGTATCTGACTCTTTGTGACCCTATGGATTTAAGCCTGCCCAGATCCTCTGTCCACGAAATTCTCCAGGCAAGAATAGTAGAGTAGGTTGCAGTGCCCTCCTCTAGAGGATCTTTCTGACCCAGGGATTGAAGCTGCTTCTCCTGCATTAGGCAGGTGGGTTCTTTACCACTAGCACCACCTGGGAAGCCCCATGACAAACCCAGACAGCATATCAAAAAGCAGAGACACCACTTTGCCAACAAAGGTCTGGATAGTCAAAGCTATGGTTTTTCCAGTAGTCATGTATGGATTTGAGTGTTGGACCGTAAGCAAGCTGAGTGATAAGAATTGATGCTTTTGAACTGCGCTGGAGAAGACTCTTGAGAGCCCCTTGGACTTCAAGGAGATCAAACCAGGACTGATTTGATGCTGATTTCATGCTGAAGCTGATTTCATGCTGAAGCTGAAACTCCAATACCACCTGATGGGAAGAGCCAACTCACTGGAAAAGACCCTGATGCAGAGAAAGATGGAAAGCAAAAGGAGAATGGGTGGCAGAGGATGAGATGGTTAGATAGCATCACCAACTTAATGGACATGAGTTTGAGCAAACTCCAGGAGACAGTGAGAGATAGAGGAGCCTTGTGTGCTGCAGTCCATAGGATTGCAAACAGCCCATTTCTTTAAGACATTTATAAGCTCATGGAAATGAACTGTCAGGGAGAGAAAAGTGCTGATGCAAAAGAGAGAGGGCACAATTTCAGGGGGCTCTCCCTGAGCTGAGAGATAGCCAAGCAGAAGGATTGGCCTTGTAGACAATTGCTCTGTGAAATGAGAGTGTGTGAGCTGACTCAGGCACTATGGGAATACCCAGAAAGACTTTTCTGATCCTTTCTGGTGAGAGAGGACATCATCAGCTGAGTGTGGGGTTGGGGGTGGGGAGTATGGAAGGTCTGAGGAGGGGTCAGAGGTAATATCTCTTGGAAATGGGAGCGTTAAACCAGAAATCTAATAAATTATCAGGCAGCATTAGGGGCCCCTGGATGTCTGTGATCTTAAATATAAAGATAAGGCCACTCAACACACCCAGTCACTCAGCTACTTATTTGGTTAAAACATCCCATTTATAAAGACCATTACAGTATACTAACACATATATATGGAATTTAGAAAGATGGTAACGATAACCCTATATGCAAAACAGAAAAAGAGACATAGATGTATAGAACAGACTTTTGGACTCTGTGGGAGAAGGCGAGGGTGGGATGTTTCGAGAGAACAGCATCGAAACATGTATATTATCTAGGGTGAAACAGATCACCAGCCCAGGTTGGATGCATGAGACAAGTGCTCGGGCCTGGTGCACTGGGAAGACCCAGAGGGATCGGGTGGAGAGGGAGGTGGGAGGGGGGATCGGGATGGGGAATACATGTATATCCATGGCTGATTCATGTCAATGTATGACAAAAACCACTACAATATTGTAAAGTAATTAGCCTCCAACTAATAAAAAAAAAAAACCATCCCATTTACTCCGTTAGGTGTATTGACAATTTCAAAAATGTCTCCTGGGCAATATACCACTGACAGCCATTTGTCATCCTGTGTCCAAATCTGATACTTGTATTTTGATGTGAAAAGGAAAAAAGATAACTTATCTGTAAGCCTGATAGGTTTTTTTTAAGCATTTTGCCACAAGATACCCACAACCATCACTGTGGAAGGAAGGACTTCCATGGAGATTCCGCCCGTTACAGGTTACAGTAGCGATCCTGTGACAGCTGAACAGTTTTGTGTTTAAAAAATTAACTAGATCCATTAACTTACCTTGGGCTTCCCAGGTGGTGCTAGAGGTAAAGAACCCACCTCCCAATGCAGAACAAAAAAGAGAAGTGGGTTCAACCCATAGGTCAGGAAGATCCCCTTTGGAGAAGGAAATGACAACACACTCCAGTATTCTTGCCTGGAGAATCCCATGGATAGAGGAGCCTGGTGGGCTATAGTCCATGGGGGTCACAAAGAGTTGGACATGTCTGAGTGACTTAACACACACATGGCATCCTGCAGTAACGAGCACACTCTTGCCTTCAGCCTTTGCTGCCACTTCCTGCTGGTGGATGAGGCCACGGATGGGTTATGCCCACAGCACTGAAGGCAACCTAATGTCAGTCTTTTTATCATTCTGGTCAAAGCAGCCACTCCTTCAATGGTTGTATGGATACAATTTTACCAAAAATATTGCTTTCATAACAAAAATTATTTACTGTTGAGAATATATGCTCCCTAGTGCATCTTCTTGTTAGAAGCTCCTCAGGAGTTCAATAATTCTTTTCACGCTTCATTTTTTAAAAATCTTGTCATTCATTGTTATTCGGTCACTAAGTCGTGTCCAACTTTTTGTGATCCCATGGGCTGAAGCACACCAGGCTTCCCTGTTCTTCACTATCTCCCTTGTTCAAATTTACGTGCATTGAGTCAGTGATGCTATCTAGCCATCTCTTCCTCTGCCGCCCTCTTCTTCTCCTGCCCACAATCTTTCCCAACATCAGGGTCTTTTTCAATGAGTCATCTCTTCGCATCAGGTGGCCAAAGTATTGGAGCTTCAGCTTCAGCATGAGTCCTTCCTGTGAATATTCAGGGTTGATTTCCTTTAGGATGGACTGGTTTGTTCTCCCTGCTGTCCAAGGGACTTTTATTTTCAAAAATAATTTTATGTGTTTGTTTATTTTTGACTGTGCCGGCTCTTCATTGTCGCGCGGGCTTTACTCTAGTTGCCTTGAGCAGGAGCTGCTCGCTAGGTGCCGTGCGAGGGCTTCTCATTGTGGTGGCTTCTCTTATTGCAGAGCATGGGCTCTAGGTGCTCGGGCTTCCGTAGTTGAGGCTCGTGAGTTGCAGACTCAATAGTTAAGTGTGAGCTCAGCTGCTCCACCCCATGTGCGATCTTCCCAGATCAGGGGTTGAACCCATGCCTCCTGCTCTGGCAGGTGAATTCTTTACCACTGAGCCACCAGCGAAGCCCCCACATTTCATTTTTTAAACAGTCTAGGGACTACCATAAACAGGGACTTGTTAGAAACATCTATGTTTTATCCAACTGCCTAGCAAAACTTCAAATTGCAAGCCTATATGATTTGTTCTCATTCTTGTTTCTTCTAAATTTTCAGCGTTCTATCTTCCAAGATTATT